GAAGAGGCCAAGAAGTATAAGGAGGCGGCCTGTAGTCTACCAAAGAAGGGACAGAACAGGGAATCACTCGTATGTTTCGTTGCACTTATTATAACTATATTTATGTGATGTCTATTTGAAACTAAATCCAAACGTTTGTCCCAAACATCTAGTGTTTAAGTCTATTGGAAAAATTCAAAACACGTCTCTTGACTACGAAAGAGAGGACAGAGTCGGAGGAAAGTGAGGTGAAAGACGACGCCGATTGGCTCTCACATCGACTCACGTGTCAGAAAGACGAGAATAAGTTGGCGAAAGACGCGAACCTGAGGAATGAGGAGGACTGGTATGATATCTACGATCCCAGAAATCCCATTAATAAGAGGCGACGCGAAGAGGGTCTGGAAAAGGGCGCGAAGAAACCGCGCGTCAAATGATTGACCCATTTTTCAACGAGTGATTGACAGCAAACATAAACATCCAATCGATTGCATTATAAATAATTTCATAGAAACCATACGTTATATTGTTTTTATAAGATTTATTTCGACGCCTATTATATTCTGACGATTTTAGGGCTTATTTATCACTTTTTTCAAAGACAACAGAATATAAATAAAATAATACTTTTACTCTTTAAACTGTTGTGATATTTGGTTGCGAATGAATGGCTCGTCAATCAATTGAATTGATTTGACGTCTATTTGTTGTCTAGACTTACGAAACACTTATTTAATCCCAATTACGAAATATTACTACTATTTTCTANAATCCCAATTACGAAATATTACTACTATTTTCTAATTACAGTAGACTTTTAATTTGAAATTTTGTTTATCCCGTCATTACGTGATAATTGTATTGAAGAGCACAAAGTTATTAAAATATTCAGTTAACTGTAAATATGTGAATAGTTTATATACTATATTCAATTAATGTAACCATTGATGTAAACTATAAGTAAATGTAATGTTTAAGAATTATTTGAACATAATTTAAATGATACATGTAAACAATAAATATATGATTTTTGATTCCGTTGTAAATTTTATTTATTTTAATTATATTAAATGCGTTAACCACAATTCGGGCTATGCTCAAAGAACTTTATGAAGCCCATAGGAATATCGTTATTCATATACTTATCTGCGCTCATAGGATTAGCATTGCCATAGACTTATCATTACCTATAGAATTTGCAATGTCCAGGTTGAACCTATGTCATAGACTTAAGCTGTAATCCCATAGAAACCATGTAAAACCATTTTCCCATAAAATGTGTCCCCCATGTTATCTTATGGAAGCGATGTTAAAGTATAGCCATAGGATTAACATGGGATCCAATGTTAAATCCCATAGGGTGAGTGAAGGGAGGAATAGCTGAGTGATTCTATAAATCACATTCTTCATAATGAATTGTGGTTAAGAATGTAATAGTGAGACCACGATTTTGGCATGTCGTCGGGGGTGTACAAAATATGAGTTAAAAATTAATTCTGTTAACATCTAGTACATTAACAGTAATAATATGACGGGCTAACTATTAACTACGGGACACCTACAGTATTACCTATTCTTACTATTTCAAAAACTGAAAGCTGAGCAGAATTACCTGAATTTGAGCGGAATTGAGTTTACAAGTAAGTAATCATATAAATTATGCAAAATTGTGCACAAATAAATTGATGGGGTTGCTGATTAAAACAGCACTGATAAAGCTATACTGAAATGGACCATCGTCATTTCAATAAAACTGACACCAAAGTAAATTAACAAGCTGTAAATTAATAAGCTGATCAAATAAATATAATGTATAATGTTTATATGGCCAGCTTGTTAATTTACTTTGATGTGAATAAAATAAATTCCTTTCAACTTTGACTCACAAAATTCATGCTTAACGAATTTTTAATGCAAACTATCAATAAATTGTGGCTTTTAAGGGGGAGGAGAAGGTAAACGACCAGTTTTGCCGCCTTGTATTGCGATGGCATAATAGATGTGAGTATTTATTCAATTAACACCTAACTCACCAACATCAAATTGAGGGATGTGGCAAAAATGATAACGAGTCAATGGTAACTTTTGACTCACCTTGGTAAATTAGACTTTTAATTAGTAATGGGCGTCCCCCTAGCGGATTTCATAATTTTAAAAAGTAAATTAAAAGTATGTCACATGACATATTTAATATATAGTTAATCCGGGGTGTGTACATACTTTGACTTGTTCCAATTGCTTTTTGGAACGCGTTCCACAAACGCCCAAGCAAACTTTTAATCAATCAAGACATTGAAAATTATTGATCAGCCAATACTCATTAGTAGTACAAAAATTAATTGTAATATGAATCTCAATTGGCCCACTTGTAACAAGTGGGCCAATTAGGTATGCGTTAAAGGGCGCAATATTTAGTCAAACGCTATAACTTATAACGTTTATAATGAGTGAATCACAAAAAAAACTTGTTCTCCAATTACCGTAAACACTGCCTATCGTTAAATTGGTATTAAACTAAAGAACATTGTTCACTAAGACCTGATTAAATGCATATAAAAAGATCTTTTGATGAAAGTCTCCAACAGTTTTAATAATGAATCCTTTCTATTGATTCATTTAACAGCGTTTTCGTCGCATATTTTTGTACACATTTCAATCATATCTCTTATAATAGTAATGATATGTTTATGTGGTTTATATTTGATAAGAGAATTGAACACAAGTTTTAGGTTTGATATGAAATAAGATTAAATTATCACACATTTGATAACATTTTATTGTATTATTAATCCTTTCATTTGAAGATTAGAATAAATTGAACGGACAAACTGACCAATCAGTACGCGTGTTGTCATGTGTGTAAGTTATCACAAGTTATGACAAATTGATAACAACACTGATAACCAAATAGTGCTCAATACATGCATTACTGTAACAAATTATAGTAAAAACATTATGTCTTCGATGCAAACATTCCTTAATCTATCTAAGTCAAGTAATCATTCTCTCCGTTCTCTTCATTAATAAACATATTGTTAATTGTGTGGACACGTGAGCGTCAATTAACCAATAGTTTGGACTCTGGATATCACTGTCGATTTATTCATCCAATCGTTTCACATTTAAATCAAAACAATTATTTGTAATTTAAATAAATTTTGTGGCGATTATAATCATGTTTACACAATTCGTGTATTTATGCCAAGTTTTGTTGGTTTCATTTATTATCAAATCATTTAATTTCAAATTGTGTTAACATAACGCATAACACAAGTGAACGCAACCGTATGCTGTGCTTTGCGGTAATGTAAAAAAGTGTGAACTTCTTTGTTAGAAAAATAACAGTAATTTGAGAAATGAGTGCTTTTTGTCCACAAATATTGAAATCATCGAAAATCGTGACTCACTTTTGCACAGCTTTTGAAAGCATTGATACAAACGGTGTTCACATAATCGATGGCTAATCACCAGAATATAGGAGTGAAACACATTTGACACAATTGTGGCCAAAAAGTGGTGTTTTGGACGATAACTGGAACTCAAAACCAATACTAAAGACACAAATAATTGATTGCAAATCTAATTTGTGTCCAAAAATGGATGAATCGGTGATTGCTTTCAATTTCGGTCATAAATGCGACCAAACATTAGGTATGAAAAAGGCGTCGATTGTCGTCCAAAGACTGACCAGAGATCAGATCCACAAATACGACAAATATTTCTACGAAAAATATGTTGCGAACGGTTCCCAAACTCAAGAACCCATTGAAAGTGACTCTAAATGTACAGAAAAGCGAGAATTTATGAGAAATTTGAATTTGATTTCATCGCAAGATTTGGCGACAAATTCAATGAATTCATTGCAAAAGTGGTTTCCCTTAAGAATCGTCGACAGAATCGGTGTCTCAGTTGTGGACAAAGAGTCTATCGAAAGATTGAATGGTTTGTCGCACGAAATGATTGACAACAATATCGTCACCAAAAAGCGCCGCAAACGAAGACAAAGAGTTGGACCGAGACTTATGCCGAAACCAAAGCCCACGAACTCATTGGTCGAAGAGATGGCAAAAGAGAAGAATCGCAAGAAACGAGTTCTCAAATTCATATCCAAATTTGAAATGACATCAAAATTGTCTCAATATTTGGCTAAAACTTTGGCCATTAGTAGACATTCTTCAGGAGTGGAGAGCGAGCGGTCGTCCGTTCGGTATCCAAGAAATGACGTTTTGATGTCTTATCGATCGCACAATCGATACAATGTGTGGTCGACGAGGAATATGGATGTGATGTGCAATGAGTCTGAATTTGACCACAAGTTGAGCCGAAAATCGCATAATTATGTCTTCACTCGAAGACAACGTTTGGAACACAATTTGTGGCGAAAGACGGGATTGAATTGGAGATCACGGCTGAAGACTCTTCACTGCCGACCACTCCGTGTATGCGTTCGTCGACTCGGAAAACGACTTGAAAATGACAAACCATTGGATCAATTGATTGGTCACCGAATGGGCAAACAATCGGAATCTCAAGACTGCGAACAACAACTCATTGCCATTGAATCCGAAGATTTTATTCTGAAAGAGATTGTCGACGAATCGATGCCATTGTCTGCTGTGGCCGACGATTATTGCGAAGACTATAAGCGGAGATTTGGTCACCAATTAGTGAACAAAGGGATTGTTGTCATTAAAAGAGATGCAAAACTCGACGAAATGGCAAAACAGACGGCAAAATGAAAGCAATATTTCATTTTAAACTCTTTTGAACGCTATTTTGAGTCCACAAATCATATCATTTAATATTTGTGTATAAAATTTATTTCTAATTCTTAACTACAATTAAGTTTGAAAATCTATGGCTAATGCTATTCCTATAGTTTAATATACGGACAAATGCTATTACAGTCAAACTTCTGTGCTGTCAACCATCTATGCTATCAACTTCTTTATGTTACCAACAATGTCCTAAATACCCACCTCATAGACATAATGTTAAAATTATCTCTATGTTGTCAACTAATCTATGTTATCAACCAAATTCACTGGAACCGTTTTGTTGATAACATAGATGTTTGACTGTATTACTGTTAAAACAATATTACTGTTAGTTTTATGAGATATAGTTTATAAAAATTACATTACATTTAAAACATTTACTCTTGAAATATAGCGCAATTATGTTTATCTTATAAACTTCTTTTATAAACTTATCCTGAATTGTAGTTAACCCTCGCATTGCATGCAATCCTTGTTCTAATTTTAGTACCTTTTAATTCAATTTTTATTTCCATCACTAATTGTTATGTAAATTATCATTCAATATAAAGTATATTGTAATTTATATAAAATATTTATTATTTAAAAATAAATTATTATATTTCATATTTATATTCAAAATCATTATTTGATTTGTTTTTTGAGTCAATTTGGATGAAGTGATGCATAAGTATTATATTAATTACTGAAACAAAGCAAATATTTCTATCATTTATTGAATTGTTTTATTTGAATGAATATAATATGACATGAATTCGTGATATTTGTAAATATTTCGTTACGTTAAGCAACAAAATGCAGTGAAAGTAAAGCAATAACTTCTGGTTTAAGTGATAAGCAATGACTTCAATGCTCTGTAAGGATGTCTGCAATCGAGTGATAAGGAAATTGATTTTCTCTATACGTTATGTTCAATACAGTAATAGTATAGTGAAGACCGTTATGGCAGCAAAACCTCACTTTTAGGTATAATAATAATGCTTTTAAATAGGATTATGTGAAAAGCAAGCGTTGTGAGCGTAAAGGTTACCCACATTCTAAACACCGAAATTTAGTTTGCAAACAAATCTTGAATTAATAAATGCATTTTGCTGGTCTTAAACGTTGAGTATCTGTTTTGACGTTAAGTCAACATAAACTAGTCAATCTTAATGGTCTAAAAGTATATTTCGGACACACTTTAGGACCGGTAGATACGTGTGAGCCCTGGGTTTCACTGCTCATCCTATTAAAGCAATTTATATGATTTTTCTCATGCATTTTAACGGCATTTAACGAATGCATAGAAGAGCTCACAATTTACTCTTAAATCTGAAAAATAAACAATCGTTACATTGAATGTAAATTCAAGGATTTAAATGATTTCTCTGAAAACTCTATTCCGAGCCATTCGTACACTATCTATACATTCTATACAATATTTTTTTAATCACATATTCTATCGTTTAAATGTATAATAATTTTTTTATTATTTAAAATATAATCTCTTTTGTCAATTGAAAAGTGCGACAAAAATAGTGAATAAATGATTGAATAGATGGATGAGTGGAGAGAGAGAGAGAGAGAGAGAGAGAGAGAGAGAGAGAGGCCCACTTGTAAGCATATGACTAAAAATGTGAACAATATTTTTATTCTCAGATTATTTCAATAAATAAGTGATGCGATCGACACATCTCTGTAAACAAAGCTTAATTCAATTGCGTTCACGAGTTTGAGATTTAGTCCATAATATAATAATATAAGAATACATTGGGAATCAAGTCCTGAATAATTGTATTTTATATTGTTGTATAGTTTTCAGTGAGATATGAGTTAAACCGAGTTTTTGAAGGGAAGTAAAAAAGTAGTTTCCAAACCGCTCTCCAAATGGATATGCAGTACAGTATAGGAGGGGAGAGAATGGATGCACGCGTCCAGACGTGCGCTCCGCCCGACTCACCCATCGCTAGCTATCTGTGCTCTCATTCACTATACATGCGATATATTGGGAATCAATCACTCGTAAAACATGGATCTTATGCTTGTGTAACACTTTTTCATAATTTCCTCAATCAATGTTCTCACAAATTCGCGATTAATTTCCTTTCAATAAATGCTTTTCCATTGAAGTGACGAAACCATGAATTTATAAATATAGAGAAAGGCGTGCGACTCGTGAGGAGTATAGCCAACACTATAGCCAACACTATAGCCAACAGCTCTCTTATCATACCATTAGAACTATGGGTCGGATTCTGAGAGCGGGTGCCTATGGTTTGGGTCACTTCACACCTAACCTATTATCAAATACTCATATTTATTGAATAAATTGTCATTTATTACGATAACAATACATTAGTATAGAAAAAGACATTTATGATTGCATTCAAGTTGTGAATTCAAACGTATATTTATAGCCGTTTTCTTCCATTTAATGTACAGAAAGTGTTTTTACAATTAGTTTCTCATAGGATTTGGTCGTCAAACAAGTCATTCAATGCGTTTGTATGCAAATATTTGTCCACTATAAAAGTTGTGAGTTTGCTAAGGCAGAGAATTTAGAATCATTAGCTGTGAAGTTAGTTTCTATATATGTTAGTTTTGTACAATAGGTTACGTGCTGTGTTCGCTAGTTTACAATTTATGTTTTTTTAGACATTTAAATGTGATGTTGTCTTTAGTCGGTATCTGAAGCACAGCTAAGACTGGACTCATCGGAACTGATGAGAAACGGAGAATCGCAGTCATTGAGTGGTGAACTGGAGGGCGACGGCTGTCCTATATTCACATAATATCGTCGTTTTCTGTCCCTTTGTTTCACTTGTAGTCTGTGTTTGGATTTACTAAATCTGTTCCTCTCGTGAGAAGCGTTACCATTGAGTGTTAGCTCCGCTTTCTTGGACGTCATTTCCATCGGGAGTCCCTCTTCTTGGTTCTGATAGTCGAGAACAGCCATAAGAAGTTTGATATATTTGATGGCAAGTCTGAGGATCTCGTTTTTGCTGAGCTTCTTGTCGGCGGGATATGTGGGCACAAGACGTCTCAAGTCGGCGAAGGCTCCGTTCACGTTCTGCTGCCTACAGTGGACGGCACTTGCATTCAATTGTAGCAATAATTGCCATTAATTGTGTCCAATCTATACATACCTCCAGCGCTCTCTGCTATTAGTGAATATACGGCGCACAGCCTTTCGAGGCACTGACGGCACGCTATCCGACGTCTTATTACACGAGCCTATAGTTTGTTATGTAATGTAAACCATTTGTGTCATTACTTATAATGTTATGGTTATTGTATTTCAATTTTGAGATTATGCTTTTTGCATCACTTAACGGATTGATTTAAACATAGTGCTTAAATTATTTTAGATTAACATGATCTATCAATTAATTTTTACGCTCTTTACAAAAGTATAAGTTATACTTTTGCAATACAACAGTAGTAGAAGTTCATAGAATACAACATTAATAAACTCACAATTAATATAGTGTCAAAATTTGAGTAAAATGTTGCAGTAATTATTGGAAACAAGTAATTTCTTAAATTCTCATAAATTATGATTTTAAAAATAAATAATACAATTAATAAATGAATAGAAATACCATTTGTGTTCATTTCTGAATGTCTTCTTTTATGAAGGAATCGATGTTTTTGAACAATCGGTGAATTAGTTGAACAATAGACAGACAGGAAATGAAATCACAAAATACTGAAACATTTTTGAGTTGAAGTTTTTAAAATTATTTATTAACGGGGGAGAGTAGTGGGGGGCGGGAATCACCATTATTATTAGTTTTACTAGTTTTAATTAAATTAATATGTAAGTTTATATGTAACGCTATACTTAAAGCAACCGTTCGGATGCTTTTTCAATAGTGTTGAACACAATAATGACTATTACAACCATTTGTTCATTTTAAAGCATTAATTTAATGCTGTATGTTATAATTGACTGACTAATTTTTAGTTTATGTTTAGTCGGCATATTAAATGAGTCATTTTTGGTTGCCATGGCTATACTTTATCATTGATTAAAAAATCATTTTAGGCAGTCATTTTTAAAAAGGGGGGCTAAATTCAATTAAGGTCTAGATTAAAAATTATTTTTAATGTAATTAATATAGTACAATGACGGCCCCTAATGCTAACGCTGGCCCCGCTGATCTTGTCACCATTTAGCATAATATGTTTTATTTGCAATGATAGGTTTTTAGATAGAACCAAAGTGAAAATACATCAACAAATAACGTTCATAGCATAAATAACGTACAAAAAATGTAATACGTTTTTAATTTTTTAAATAACTGTAATCTGACTTCCGAATTATGAAATTCTTTCAGATCCCTATTCCTTGCATTAAATCCTTTCCGTCTTTATAATATGACAAATAATATTACAAGTATATCACTTAAATAGGTGTTTAATTATAGTATAAATGTTGCCGACAAAAGTGGTCACTACTAGCGTTGCTAGACGTCCAGGAACGTCCTGGATTATCCAGGAAATGAACAATTTTTGCAGAGTCCAGGGAGGGGTATTTCCTGGACATTGACAAATCCAGGAAGTAAATTTTAGATAAATGAGTTGTAAAAATAGTGTCAAATAAACTATATTGGTTTAGCTTGTTGTGTTTCTAATGGGAATTATAGATATCATTAATAAAAATAGTGTAAAGGGTGTCCCAATGAATTTGAACTATCAATATTTGTACCATATAATAGCTTTTATTCTTTAAACAATTTATTTGTGATAATAAATATTTTTCTTATTACTATGTAATAGGAATATAATGGGACTAATTCAAGATTAATTTGATATAATTAAAATTTTATTTAACTGACGTTTGCCTAATCAAGAACAATTTAACAAAAAATTTGCACATTTAATTTTTATGGATTTTGAGACTTAATTTTAATATTGTCATTGAAACATGAAAAAATAAGTGAAATTATATAGTTAGTATCTAAATATAAAGTGTAGTTTATACTTGTTTGAAAATGACCGAGTTTATTAAAATCGGATTATAGATGCTAAATCTGCACGTGTTTATAAAAGACTACTCATGCAATGCTTTCTTATGGAAATACACAATAGTTCAAATTCATTGGGACACCCTTTAGACATTGTTATAACCATTTGTTCATTGTAAAAACTCATGAAACAGACGTTTGAATTACAAAATTTAATAAAAATGTCAACATATGTAAATTGTAGTAATTGATAACTAAAATCCAGGTAAATCCAGGAAATTTGCGCAAAATTATCAAATTTTCCAGGAAATGCCAAATTATTTCTGGCAACGCTAGTCACTACTCCCGAACCCAATAACTTAACGACGTATGGACAACATTTTTTAAAACCTCTAATCATGGTCTATCATTTTTATATTAAATGGTGACCAGGCCAGCATTACCATTAGGGGCCGTCATCGAACGTACATAAATACTTTTTAATTTGTATATGGAATAACCAGATAAGTTATCAAATCAATCAACAAAATCCCGCAGCGCGATTTATTTTTATACTTCCAAACGAAATGAGCTAGATCAAATCTGTAAAGTGCATAATGCTGGCATCTTTATATTTCTTATAGTGTGATCAATACCAATGATTCAAAAGTACTACTACCTCTTGAGTTATTCAATAATTCACTAGTTATTATCAGGTGTATGATTTTTACTGCAAATGTCACGCGCATGAAGGTTATGTTTTGAAACAACAATTTGACCAGGACTGTCTTTAAGCTAAAATTTTGTTTATCGACTTAAATACAGGGATTATATTTATGTTCAAAATACATGTGATTTGCACACACAATCAGTGTCTTTAAATTTTATTGACATTTGGGCCAAAAATAGTGAAAATAATCATCAGATTTAGTTTAGATTCAGATTTGAAATAATAGACAAAATTCAGTGTATTTTGAATACAAATAATAATGTTTTGTGTGAAAGTATCACAAATGATCAAGTTAACTATTGATAAGTTATCAGATTACTCTATCTTATTATGTATGAATTAAACTGATTTTATATAACGTTGTGGGTTATATTAAATAAACTGAGTAGGTTGTGAAAATTATTTATATGCATGTGCCTTTTGTCATCTTACAATTGTTCATAATACTATCGGATGCGTATGATCTGGCTAGATTGTTTTGTCTATTATAAAGAGACCGGATGTTCAATAATATTGTATATGTTATTGCTATTGATTTATAAAAGAGTGGACACAAAAGCGATTGATGTCTGTCGAGAGAGAGAGAGAGAGAGAGAGAGTCAAAATAGAGTATAATTAATTGTTGCGAAACTTCTGTCATAATCTATAATTCCGATATAAATATGTCATTAATAAGAGAGAGAGAGAGAGAGAGAGAGAGAGAGAGAGACGAAAAGATTGAATAAGATATTTTAGAAATAGTAAATGTAAAATAAAATACTTTATCCGTAAGAATTGGTAAAGATTTACAGAAAATTAAATGATAGTTTTTGATGGATATACAGAGTATGTAAGTATACATTTTGTTACAAGAAGTTGTTGTAGTAGTATTTTTACCATGGACAAAAAAAATAATGTAGAGATTTAATGCCCAGTAATAGCGATTGAACACTAAAATTGGATTTTGTTAGTGATTTAGTACATTATTTATAGTATACAGTATTGTCATACTATATGTTGTATAAAACGTATATATTTTTATGTGTTGTAATCAAACATAAAAATCTAACGATATCTTATAGATATACCATTGCCTTAACACATACATGTAATATTATATGAAAGTTATAAATAGTTAATAAAAATGGTTCGTTGAATAGAAAATATACTGTATGAATAACAGATTAAACAAACTAGTTAAAACGTTGACCTTTTTGCATACTAAATTTATTAAAACAATAGTTTGTTAAGTAATATAAGAAATATTATTTTAATATTACTGAACAGTAATAAAATTATTTTAAAAACAAGCATACTAAATTTATTGGCTGACCAAATAGCAGGTTTTGTTTATTGTAGAAACATAAATTATCTAGATATTTTATGTTCACTTTAAGTGGACATACAGTTATAATTTACAAACTCATGGCCAACAATAGGTTTGAAATATATAAATATAAAAACAACAGTAAATGGATTGCAATGAAAAACACATGCATTTACTCTGATTGAGACCGTAATTGCATTACATCTCAAACAACAAATCTCACGAAAATAACATTACGTTTTATTTATTATAAAATGTTTTACATTTTCAAAGTGGGCAGAGATGGACATCAATTATATGTGGCAATAAAATGTATTTGAAACATGTTAGTTTTATTTTTAAAATTTGTGATTTATTTCAAAATAACTGAATTATTAGTAAAAAAAATTGTGTTACTTTGATTGCTATTGAATTTGTAGTAAATTTGATTTTTTTATTTGAAAATTTTATGTATTGTTTGCAAAACTTTTGCAATCTTTGAAGTTTTAATTTAATCAGAAATGATTGTAAAATATATTATTGATATATTCCTCGAGAGAGAGAGAGAGAGAGAGAGAGAGAGAGATCATGAAAAGATTTTAGTATAGATGTAATTATTTAATAAAAACCCACATGAAATACCTGATATCTATCCTCTTTAACTATTATACTGTATTATGAAAGCGATTGATGTCTGTCGAGAGAGAGAGAGAGAGAGAGAGAGAGAGAGCGCTTACGATAAAAATACTGTAAAACACGCAAAACACATGATTTCGCATATTTTTCAATATTTTGCAATTGAAAACATATAAATAAGTTATGAATTATAAAAAAGTTTTTAAATGTAGTTTTATCATGATCTATTTTTTACAAAATTTAATATAGTACAGTATTATCTACATTATACTATACACTATACTCGTAATAGTGTACATTTAAATGCAAACAATCTTACAATTCTATGTCTCCCTATATGTGTAATCAAATTCTGTGTGCGTTTTGATAGCACTTGTAATACAAGAATATCGTGTTTTTAATACATGTCTTCAATGCAACTCACGATATCGTCTACTGTGTTAATACAGTTAACACTCGTTATAAATCACTGTACAAAAGTTACTTTTCATATCGTGTATCTTATTTACTAACATGGTTTTAATATTAATAAAGCATTTGTACCTAAAAATGAACAAAAATATGTAATCCATATAATTATTAGCAAGAAAAGTTGCCTATCATGCACAATTTGTATTGATTACAATCTTGATATATAAGTATAAAAAGTGTTTACTATTCACTACAGTAGTGATCATTAAGTGAGATGAGTAGTTATGGTAATCCACACCGGTTGTATTTATATACACCAATTCAATTTAACAATGCCAGACTTGACTAAATACAACATGTTTATCCTGTCTGTCCGCCCACTTATTATAATTATAATACTCCACTTTATATTAAACTCTATATGCATAGAAATAATTGTGATTATAATCTGTGCGATTAATATATTATCGGAGACAGACTATAGTCAGACAGTCTATAAATAAATATCGATATTATAGTCTACTATATTTATCACACGATTGAAATTACCTTAAAAGAAATACAGTTATATTCAATCACTGCAAATATAATATATCTATTGTATACCATCTAGGCATTTTATAATAATGAAATAATATTTT